TGAGGACAACTTCCTCTCTACGATCTTTCCGACTTGGAATAGATGTTTTAAGTTTCGGTTGTACTTTAAAAAGTTTGTTGCTGGTCTCGAGAGACCAGCGTTGCTGTCATTCATTTCGAATGGCTGTACGAATAATTGGTTTAAAATCTGTATATGGTAGTTTGATATTTGTTTGTCAACAAATTCGTTGCCTTTAATTCCGACATGGCTCGGAATTCATAGAAAAGTTATTTTTAGAATTTTTTAAGGTACGAGATATTCGAAGAGCAAGGTTTTGTACGAGTGTGGTTTTAGGATCTCGGTCTCAACAGTGTGATGGAAAATCTTGCCATCGTACACAACAAAGATATTGTCAACCAGGAACTTAGGCAATATCTCAATTTCACCCTCACTATACTTCATTTTGACATTTGTTGTGGCAGTCACCTGCCTTTCCTGGCAAGGAAATATCTCATTATAAGACAACAAATGGATCCTTCAGCTTGGTATGAGATACGGTAGTGAAAAGAGTCGAAACGTCAAAAGTTCTTTTGAATTCTTCAAAGTCGACATTCAATTAATTCCATTTCTGGTGTATACAGTGTTACAATTTGACTGTAACTCTGATTTGATGGTACTAAGAATGGTAGTGAGAAGTTTGGTTGAAAACGTGGTTGAGCAACTAGAAGAGTCGGAAATAAAACGTTGTTTATAAGGATTCTTTGTGAAGTTTCGGAATCCAATATAAACGAGGCAGGTCCGTTAGACTGTAATACAGAAGCGGGATTACACGTGAAGCTAATACTTCGTCTTCCGAACAACCTAAAAATATATATGCAAGGTTTTCTTGGTTATCAAGCAAGCATAGTTTGCTTTTTGTTTTTTGGTGGGTTTTTTCTTTGCAATTAGGCAATGTAAGAGTGTTTGCATACTTTTAAGAAGATTAAGTTAGTAGATGCTTTGTCTGCAGCTATAGGTTCATATACATACCTATCATACAGATCGTTGAGTGTAATTTGGACATCGGGGTCAAGAAATACAAACCTGTGTTTAGACACGGCGCCAGTAAGTTTCATAAGGCGCAAATTCAGTGTAGTTTGGGTTACGGGTTTGACGAGATGGTCATTTTTATATCAGAGTAAATATCACGTCTCAACAGAATTGAATACAGAATCAAGTGATGTGTCTAAACCAAGAAAGAGATTTTAAGACACTGACTAAGTTTGGTTTCATTGAGTATTGCGTTCTGTTAACAGTTAAGGTATTTAAGGACGTGTAGCACTGTGTACAGTGTATGCGTTTGTGCTGGAGGCGATGTCTTGGTACATCTGATGCCGATTTTAGAGCGCTGCCTCACTGAAATACTCTACCGAAGGCACCCAACACACCTTTCCATCCGGCTACATTATACCGAAAACGGTTTAACCCTAAATGCTAAATGTTTAGCAGGGAATAACACCAACCATTTTAAATGATGTTGGTGTATCTAAGCCTGGGGACAGAACCCATGGCCTTCCCGACTTGGGCGAACGTCTAACATAAGGCCTGTAACTGTTGTGGAGATGTTATATATTACGTCTGAACGAACAATCTTAAGTTATTTTAAGCGGTCAGTTTTACACCAACTTCCCCAAAATCTCCAGGTATAAGCCAGGTTATTGTGGTCCATCATGAACTCCTTTCTGGTTTGCTTACGGTTTTCCAACTTCGACATATTTCAATTTTGATGTCTGGCTGACGCTTGGCTACTTTTCTCATCTTGATTATTTTCTCATTCAAGCACGTCTGCAAACTACTCGAAACCAGATAATTAGTGAAATCTATATATAGCGTCATGCTACAAATTATACAGAAAATAAATGTATATTATATATACCACAGCGTCAACACGCAAGGACAAAAGCAGAATCAAAGTCAATAAAGGGTATTTACAGTAACAGAGGAAACACAGCAAATCGTTGTTCGAAAGACAAAATATTAGCTACACGTGTAATCACGCTTCTGTATTACAGTCTTACTGACCTGCCTCGTTTATATTGGATTCCGAAACTTCACAAAGAATCCTTATAAACAACGTTTTATTTCCGACTCTTCTAGTTCACAGCAAATCAAATGACAGCGCACTAGATATCTCTAGTCTATCTCACGGGGGTCAATTTGGTTTTTTCCCCCAGTTGCTGTATCGACAGCTGACCTTACTAGAGAGATGTGGCCCTGTACCTCAAAGACTGGTCAATTGCAACCAGTGTTAAGTGAAAAAAATCATATTGTTGCCAACATGAAGTAATGGTTTTCAGAGCATATCAAATCTCCAAAATCCATCAATTTACTCGAAAATCCATCAATTTTATTTATCTATAACACCCTATAACATTGAAATGATATCAGATGTTCTTAGTTTTGTTATATTTATATTTTTAAAAAAATACCTGACCACTGGTAAAACTTGTTCGCTTTTACCAACTTTTGAGCAACAGTGGCCTGACAGTCATGTTAGTATTTTATCTGGTTTCTGAATTTCCTAGCTGGACCATATGTCCATACGCGCCCATTTCGATTGTGTTTGCATGCTCCTTCTTTGTATCATTACAGATCATTTTCATAATTCCAGCTTTGTCTGTTGTTCCTCAATATATAGCCTGACAAGAACCAGTTACAGTAAAACACTTGTTATTAGAATGCGTCGACCTTCAGCCAACTCAATAAAATTTCTATAATAACGTTACACGTCTTAAATCTCTTCTAGAAAGAAAAAAACTGTCTCTATAATTTTAAACTAACTGAAAAGCTGTTGGTCTTTTTGAAAGGAAATATGAGTCACCATTGCCACTTTTAATATTCAAGTTGACGTTTGTCTTTTTCCTTTACGTTTCTTTGATGTCATTTGTATTTTTGCATTAGTGTTTGTCGCCCAATACATTTTGAATAGTTAATGATACGGATACAAAACTCATAGTCTTTGCAACCTAACAAGCGGCTTTCTCGTACCAAGGGAAATAACTCTTGAGAGTTTCCCGTACCACATCAGAGCTGTGTCTCGAAATAAAATAAATAAATATACAACATTTAATATAGCGCCCTATCAAGCTAACATAAGCTACTCTAAAGTGCTTTACAGTACATAGATATACAATTAATACAATTAGCATATGCATTAATCAATACAATTTTTGAGGAATTCGCAGGAGCTGCCTTATCAGGCGCTAACTACTAGTCCTATGCCACCTTGCTAATATCTCCCTATGTATGTATGCCTGCGTGTGTACTGGAGATATAATGTGTTCGAACACGATTTGAAAAGCACAGCGGCAACTAATTATAAAAAAAAATCAAGTAATCACTTACACACGTGGTATAGCCGACCTACAAGCACATATATATATTGATACAAATTGTTTGTAGATAGAAGCTAAATTATTTGAATATATATTATATTAGTTTGGCGTTCCAAAAATCTTATTTTCTGATATGTCATTTTGGTTTCAACAATTTTTTATTGAATTAACAAAAGGATGAGACAACAGGCAGTGATATGTCATTATAATACAAGCGGGAAAATTCACGGTCAGACTGGGGTTCCAACCCGGGACTTTCCGAACTCTAGACGGACGCTCTACCATTCGAGCTACATGTACGTATACCTGGTCGCCGACGATGAGACGCAGTCCAGTTCCGCTACATCATAAAGATGAACGTAAGCATGGCACACATGAGTGATACAATATGCCAAATATTCGTCCTTCTGTGACTCATCGTTGATTCTAGGGGCCAAAAAGGAGGAGATCGAAAATGATGTTGAAATAGAAAAAGAGAATGATACGGATACAAAACTTATAATTCAAATCGGTATTTTGTAAAACATCTACAGTTGAACCTCGTAATCTCGAACTCTTTTAACTTCGAAGACCGTGTTTATCTCGAAGTATTTCTCTGGTCCCGGCCAAATCTTTCCTTTATCCTAGTAAATAAAACTCTGATAATTCGAACACTGAAAAGTCGGAAAACTCGGATACCTCGAAGTAAGATATTGGTTTCAATAGCGTAAATCCAACATCAAAACATCGTCTACTTCATAGTGTTTAAAATTCATTTTGTCACTTATTAAATCTTTGATACAAATAAAACGCAAAAGTACGACATATTGCCATTCTGTGTTTATGAACATCTTCCGTGAGGAGAGTATTTGAATAACAAACTGACAAGTTGCTTTCTCGTACGAAGATAAATAACTCCGAGAACTTCCCCTAAATTGTATATGAATTATAGGCACCGGTCACTACTGCGGACTATAACAGTGGCTATCAAGGTGACGGCAAACCTCGGGGACAATCAATCTGATTAAAATCACCTGTTACATGGCTAGGCGTAGTACGAAGTTAACGAAGCCATGTAACATGATTTTAATCAGATTGACCTCGGGGACTAAGAAAAGCACCAGCAGAGTCTTTATATTGTATTTCGAATTAGCATAATATAAAACACACACTGTTTATTGTGCCTATACAAATTTGGCAGCAGATACGGCACGGAAAGGCGGCATGGAATTCGACATTTTGCATGCTTTATAACGTCATACATATGCTGATTCCAACGTGGGCCGAACTTACTGTCCGCGGAACTTGCCCCAAGCAGAGACGTATATTATACGTCTCTGCCCCAAGGCGATCCGAGAGACGTCCGGCCATCCAATCTTCCGACAGAAAAAAGTTAAATAACGCTTCAAATACGGACGTGTTTGTCCTTATGAAAGGCATGGAATTTCTCTTCCGAATTGTGAATAGTCTATAATACATAAATATCAACAAATTCCATTCTGTCCAAAACTACTTTAATAAAAATGGGCCGAATTCTGTATCGGAAAATAAACTAAACTAATCTTTAAAAAAATGCTGCCATCTTGAGAATCTGTGGTGATCTTTACTTCAGAAATAATTTGTACGAAACATTATTGCATCAACAGTCGATGGCGTATGCTATCCGGTCCGTATTTGTTTCCGTATTTTACCTACACATAACAAACTTCCGGTAAAAAGTTTGCTGCCAACGTGAACGTTGGGCCGGTGATGAGTACATCTGCAGCTGACCAAATTACCAGTCAAAATGTGGTTCATGTACATAATCAGTTGGATAGCCCTGCTACTGCAGATTATCATCATAACTCTCTCAATAGGTATGGTCACCGTGGGGCTTCATCAAGATGTCAAGTTCATGCATGAAAATGTACTGTTTCAGTTCACTGAAATTTTGTGCAGACTCTGCAACATGTATTCTCTTAGTCTTTATAAAGAGTTTTGACAGATAGATGTCTTGTGTGGGATACACATCTATATCCAAATGTCTCAAATCTGGTTTTTGAGACAGAGTAAATTTTGACTTTAATACTAGAAGTCCAAAAATTGCCTTGCTACTGCTACAGGTTCAGACACTCTGCCGATTGAGCTTATATAGCTGTAAAGACCTATAATAGTTCTATTGACCTATCTGAAATAGCTCTTTTGAGCTATTTTCATGTGATTTTCTTTTTTAATGAAAACGAAACAAAGTCACTTTATTAAGAAGATTTGATCATTAGGTTGATAACAAAAGACATTATATAAGTTAAAGTATTCTTTTTAAAAAATAAGGATGTAAAAAAATCGGAAATTTAACATTTATGAAAAATGAAAATAAACATCTAAATGTATGTTTTTTGTAGTCAACATTACAATAAACCTTATTGCTTTATGCGACTTTGCTTTAATTTAATGAAAATTGAAATCTGAGAAAATATAGCTCAATATGCTGTAAGCTCTATAATTTATAGGTGAATATAGAGATATATATAGGTCTTTATTATAGCTTTATTATAGCTATATAGCTCAATCAGCGGAGTGTACTGGACCTGACCTAACCAAGTTCAACAGTAAATACACCTTGATGAGCACTGCAAAAATATATCAAATGACGGTCATTGTGACATGTTTTTCCAACTAATTACTGACTACAAAAACCATACTGATATTAATAGGACTTAGTTTTCTTTAGTTTTACTTGTGGGAGTAGGCTTATTTTTAATCCATTATTTGTTTCAATTTTTAGCTGCAGGTCTTTACTACCTGGCTGAGTTGGTGGAAGAATACACAGTGCTGACAGCCAAAATCATCAAATACATGATATTTGTAAGAATAGTTCATATTTTTCAATGAAGATGGGTATACAGAGTAATACTTTAAAGCTGTCTGTCACCATTTAGTTTCTTAATTTTTTGAGACAGTGAATAAAATATTAGACTGATTTTCAGTATTCACCTGATATTCACCTTTCTATAGTTGCTGAATATTCCTGGGAGAAAATAAGAAAATAAAATTTAATATGCTATTGAAATATGTTTTCTGTATAGATATTCATGTACTGTTCTATATATGTAAATTAACTTTGAAAATAAGTTTATAATATGTTTCATGATTCAAAACTATGACAACCACCTTGGATTTCCTATTCAGCCTCCTAACACCTTCAATAATAAGTTAGCTAGAATAATATAATGGCATTTTGTATTTTATAGGAGTTCAGGGTTGTGAATCCAAAGAGAAGTTTGCTTATTGTTAGACTATGAGAACCACCATATAAATATCTGTCCCCGCTTTGCTCATTTCCATGTTTTTACAATTTGAAACTCAGAATACATATACCAGGAGTATACCTCTTGTTAGTTTCAGATAATGTGATTTATAGCACAGACAGATACCATAAACATGTGTAATTAGTTGTACTTATTTATCATTCATCAATTCAACACCAGACTACTTCCAGTTCTTTCATTATTTTGAGACAAAATTTCAACCCCAAATCGGATTCTAAAAACACTGCAGGCTTTAAAATTACAATACATTTAAACTGTAAAAGTGGAAATTTTTCGCAGTGTTGAGTAAAATAGTGTGAAAATATCTGCATGCAAGTATTTATTTTTAGATTATATATACATTTTTGTATGGGTTATAGATAAATAGAATATATATATATAGGTATTTCATTGATTTCATTTCCACATGGGACAATTTCCACTTATTTATGTTTAGTGGTAGTACTGTATGTCAATAAAAAGTCTGCATAAAGGATGGCAACATGAAATCCTACCTCAAAAATATTGAAAATCAAAAATTCTGTCCCTCTGTAAAATACGATCACATGTTACTGATATACAACATGTAACTCTTTGTCTTGTAGGGGACGTCAGCAGTCTTTGTGGGCTTGTTAATTTTAGAGGATTTTTCGCTGATGATGATAGTGGCCGGACTTTTGGGAAATGTGGCATTTTTCTTGGTCCTAAAGACCTTTCCCTACTTTGTCATTAGTTCTCCACCTTTTATTGGCTCTGTAGGTAAGTATTCAAATAAACTGTTCCAGACCTTCCCATGTTTTGTAATTGGTTAGTAAAACCTTGTTATATTTCCACCATTGTCCAGCAAAATATTGACATTATAAAGTGGTTTGGCAATGCGTAGAGGGAGTCATAAAATAGAATTTTATGGGGAAATAAATTAAAGGGTTTTGAATTATATGTTGGCGGTAAGCCAGGTGAGAAAAGAAATGATTGGTATTTTATCAAAGTTTCATTGTTTATACATGTAACATTATTACTGAAAAATAGATCATGTTCAAATACTTCTCGTACACAAAGGTATATGTATCTTGTTTTTGATATGCATGCATAAGCAGTAGAAATGATTAATGATCTAGTATATTTCATTATCATTTTCATTCTTTTTTATCCTCTGCTTTTTAAAGTATACAGGGGATATTAATTTGGACCTGTCTGTCCATTTGTCATGTTTTTGTTTCCGTGCAGTAACTGCCCTAATAATGATTCAGTTTGGTATGCACATACATATTATCATCCAGAGGACAAGTCCGATCCTGAACGTGATCAATACATATTTATGCAAACTAAATGAGGTTACAAACTTATGATTGGCAGCTGGTTATTTTCTGTACAGTAACTGTCCTAGTATTATATATATAAATGGGTCAATTTCGATGAAGTTTGGTATGTCCTAATAATTATAATGCATGCAGTAAGCTGTGGAAATTAACCTGTTATCATTTTGCTTTTCATTTCAGTTTTTTGTGTCATCAATCACTACCTTGCCTTCCAGTACTTTTCAACGATTTGGTACCCATTTACGGATGTAAGTATATACCTCCAGTCTCATATATTGATCAGGCCCTTGAGAAATCGATTTCCATTTAAAGACCCAAGTACATAATTCAATACAGTTTTACTGACAGGTAAATTGTTTTTTACTGGAGACCGTGAGTACCTCTAGTACTAAGGTTTGACAATAACTGGACCGGTAGATTGAGGTCGCATTCGCTTATCCCGGTTGAAATGATTCAGGTGGCGCAGAAATATTCAACAATAATAAACTTACTCACTTAGACCGAACAATTGGCAGAGCTGAAAAATGCTGTCAGCATTTTAGTTACGTGCCGAACGTTCCTGAGGTCAGCCTCAGTTCAGATTTGAGTATGTCATTTTTGTGTCGCCTGCGAAAAGCTGGTGACACATAGGTATTGCTGCGTCGGTGTGGTTGGTGTCGTCGGCGTCGTCCGAACAGAGGTTTTCGTGCGATAACTCGAGTTTCCTTGGGCCGATCAAACTCAAACTTCATGTAGTGCTTCCTTACCAAAACGAGGTTGCTTGGGATTGCTTTTCAGGTCCGAAGGTCAAAGATCAAGGTCACTGTTACTATAAATAGAAAACTGTTTTCGTGCGATAACTTGAGTTTCCTTAGGCCGATCAAACTCAAACTTCATGCAGTGCTTCCTTACCAAAAGTGCTTTCTTGGGATTGCTTTTCAGGTCCGAAGGTCACAGGTCAATGTCAATGTTACTATAAATAGAAACTTCACTAAAACTGCATACTGGACGGCTTTGATCTACCACTGGACCCTCTGAAATGCTGTCTTATTCCAAATGTTATTGACAATACTAGCTGTTTAACATCATAATCCACAAGTTTATTCATTTATTTATGGGAAACCATCCAACAAATCATACAAATTAAACTTGGAATTGAGACAATGAGTATCCAAAGCAAGTTCCTTAAAACTCAGAGTATTCTTCCTAGAATAACAGATTATATAACAAAATGATGCCATCCAAAAACATAATCTATGATTATTGCTTACTTTTAACATTATTTCTTGAAATGAAAAGTGTATCTATTTCTTCGCAATCTCCCAGCTTCGGGTCAACTAAAGTATTGACTATGTACCCGATAATTTACATAAATAGAAAGAAATTTTTGTTGACAATTTAATCTCCATTATCCTTGGCGTGCATCCCATCCTGGTGATTTAGCATGATGCATGTTTCCTCTTCATAGTCAATGTAGCAATCCAGTTGCAACCACACAAATTGATGAATAATTAATTACAATTTGTTGTTTATTAACAGGTGCTGTCATATTTCACACTCTGTCTGTGGCTGGTGCCGTTTACGTTTTTCGTGTCGTTGTCTGCCAATGAGAACGTCTTGCCTACAATGACAGAAGCACGACCCCAAGGTCAAGACCCTTCAGACGTCGTATCGAACTATTTCAAGGCTAAGGGAAAGAAATACGGACTGCTTTCGTTCTTGAAATCTGCACAGGAAAGCATGTTACCAGATCGTGTACGAAAAAATTACTGATGAAACGAACAAACAAGAAACTGTGACAAAACTATGTTGACATCATCGTATAATTTTTGTATGTAATTTTTACTGACAAAGGAGGTTCCATCTTTTTTCGGATTGGAGTTTACGTCTGTATTATACTGGAAACCTTCTTGGTTGAAGTTGTTTTTTTTCTTGCTTTAATTTTAAATGTTTATCTTTAGCATCTGACTTAGTTATTCATTGGAAACTTTAGAACATTGGAAGGTACAAAGAAAATGTCTATAACAGCAGAGCCATTTCATTTGAAAGTAGAACAAATTTGATGAGTTGAAATTTAGACACAGAATGCTTTCAATAGTCAAAAACACTTTTTTAATTTCTTTCAGAACTCAGAAGAAATGTACAGGGTTTATGTTACAAATTGTTCACCAAATCTTCAACAAAACAGAAGCACAATGCAGTATACCTGTAGATATTTGATTTGTAATCAATAATAATAACCAATTAACTAATTAGTCAATGAGGAAAAGATGTTTGTTTCATCTTCATTAGTGTTTTTCTATGTGTGTGTAGTTTTAAATAAGGAATACTGTTACCCTGTGCATGTACTTCAGCAAACCAATTCAATGTATAACAATAAATAGTACGACTGTACATTATTTTCTATTAGGGTGACAAGGCATACAGGTAACAAAAGTTTTGAAATTACATTTAATATACAATAAATATATTTTGTTGGTATTATAAAAGAAATCTTCACCTGTGCACGAAGTAGTCTTATAAACATGTCATGTCCATTGTAACAATCTGTAAATGTATGAAGTTATTTAAGAAATATGTACTGATTGAAGTACTTCGGAGCTATGTAATATAAATATTTATCATATGAACGGGTTATGCAGCGTCATAAAGCCATCACATAAACTATGTTAATGTAACGTGTGTAATATCACTCCGGAAATGAGGTCATAATGGAATAGGAACAATCAATGTGACGTCACGTCATTGTGAAGTGGACGCAATTTTCATCGTTTCAGAGGCGGCCAAGTGCAAAATATTCGTTTACGATCACAATTTTACAGTTTACTTTTTATTATATGATAAAAAGAATCTGTCATTTGTTTCCTTCATATTAGATTTATGATAATCGTTTCGGATATTTCATATTTGCTCACTAGAGACTCGCAAACATGAATTATCCAAAATTTGTATCATATATCAACTATGAAGGGAAACTTATGACAGATCCTCTATATAATTTATGTTTGTACTATTTACATCAAACACTGTATGCTAAGCTATCTATTCACAATCATTTGGTCTACAAATATGTGTCTTTAGTATTTGTTAATGAAATAATACTGATTTATTGTCTGACAGAATAATAAACTCTTATATAAAATTTGAACCATTTCTAATTTACCTGTCATGCATATTAATAGTGAAAGCAGCACTTGGATACAAACTTTATTTATTTTACAACAATTATGAAAGAAGTTATGGTGGCCATCTTGAAAACGGATGAATACTTTTGTCAAAGATCTGGAGAAAGAGATCACTTAAAAATATGAAAACATTACCTTTATTTTTATTCGAAAAATCTTTTTTTTTTTTTAAATTTTCAATTTATTTTATTTTTTTGTAAGAAAAATGTAGAAATTGAGCTTTCATGTAAATAGATAAAAACAGGTGCTGTGAATCAATTTTTGTGGACTAAGTATTAGATACATTTACATGTACATGTCGTGATGAAATTTCACCTTCCACCAAATTTTCAACATTGTTAGTGTTATGTGTACTTTGTGTACTTTAGTTGATTGTGTTTGAGTTTGTTGTTGTTTACCTTTTCCCATGCTGCTTTTATAAAAAACACGTTCACAAGCAATTCTCAGACTGTTCCACCAGACCATATTTTTGAAAGCATGATGGACTCCCCAAAATAGTCCGGTTGTCAAAAATGTCTGGCGTCTGGAGAAAGAGCCGAGGAAATTTGGACTTAAGCAATAGTCAAATCTTCTCAATCGAAATTGGAAATTGTTTGTTACGTGGACTGCATTTAATTCAGCATGATGGACTCCTCAAGACAATCAAGGTGTCAAAAATGTCTGTTTGGAGAGAGAGGCAAGGAAATTTGGACAACAGTCAACAGGCAATGCAAAAAATATTTGTGAAAGATTTTAATAAATGAAAGAGTTGCATCATAAATTGAATGAAAATTAATCTCTCTCAAAAAAAGTGGTTAACAGTAATTAACCTAATAATTAACTTGATATTTAGTGATGTGCATGAAGCCTAAATATATTGAAGATGAAATCCGAATGTAAGTTTTTTACACATGCATATAACCTTTTACGCGTGAATGACATTTTCTGTATAACACCACATCAATATTTCTTTATATGTGACGAACATAATTTTTTGCAGCTTGTTTTATGATTGAACACCGGGAAACTGAAGGATAGGTTAAACTCCATCGCTATCTAATATTAACATTAAACATCAGTTACTGGTATCGTGTAAGGTGAACAATAAAATCGGATTACATAAAAAAAAATCCAGTGAGGAAACGCTGCTATGTAAACACATAATGTCCAGTTGTGTTGAATTTTTCAGAATATTCCCCAAGGTTGATTTCATATTCTCTCACCCATGAAGATAGGGTATACATGTGCAATAGGAGTGGAAAAAATTCATAGACAGACTGGAGTTCGATACCCGGGACCTTCCAAACTCTAGACGGCCGCTCTACGAATTGAGCTATACCTTGTCGCCCAAGATCGACCCAGTCTAGTTCTGCTACACTTCCTCCTTTTTCCAAGTCTTCGCCCCCGAAGACACAACTATTTACAACCCAGGTTTGGGTAACCCCTTGTCAAGTATTCATCTAGTACTTGGTGCTTAGCTATATGACTACAGCTTGTCCTTCCTCATGTCCAAGTCTCGGCGACTTTACCTATATGATAGGTAGCTCTTGTTGATAAGGGTTTCATGGGGACAGCAATAAATAGCCAATTCCCCCATATATGCAAAGCTAGACAAAACATAGTCTGTTTCCTTTGTTAAATGTACTTTTTACATTGTATGCATGTATGCTAATATTACACTGTTTATACATAGTTCAAATCCTAAAAAAAATAAAATCTGTGATGGTTCAGATGAGATTAATATCATCAGTTTCAAGCTTTGCTTGTTAAACAATACTAAATGCCAGCGTGATAGAATCTGCGTGTATTTGGTTCAGATATATAAGAAATTGAACATTACAGTGTTTAATTTGAGAATAACTTTAATCACTTACACTGTAAAACAGTTCTCTATGCAAGTGCTTTGGCCTGCCTTGAATATTATGTGATCAAGGAATACATCTGGTGTATTTATTTTGTGTGATTGTTTACTAGAATTTTGCTCATGTACTTTTTGAAAAAAATATAATGCTTTTATATGCATGTCTAATGGCTATAGGTGAATGTATGTGGCACCCTAGAATTGAGATTTAAATGTTTGTTATTTTTCCACGATTAACACAATCTTTGAAATTTGAGGATTCACTTCTTGATACACATGTCTTCTCCACATACACTCTGGAAATATTTCATGACAAAATCGAAGGCTCTGTATGCGCCATCTTGAGGATAATACAAGTTGACTAGTTTGACCCATTGATGGACATGAAAAGAATTTTGTGCCAACCTTAAATGTAAAATTGACCTCGGATGTCACTCCTTTAAAATGTTCAAAAGACAGGTTTCATGCAGCCAAGCGATTGGTCATTTGTTTTACACCTGAAGCCAATCAAATAGCAAACTGCATGCTTTCATATTTGTCACGACGTATTCCAAGGATTTAGATAAAAAAAATAGGTGTATCGAAAACATACCCTTCGATTTTAAAGATTGCTTAACATGAAAATCTACTTAATACGGAAAGTTGTGTGTTGCATGAAATTTGTTTGAATACAGATGTACTTGTGGGATGATAAAATATAGATACATGTATACCGAAGTCAACGCATTTTTATCCGACCATACAGATAGAAATATTGTGTGGACGACTACATCCCACAATTGTATATATACTACTGCATATAGTGCAGGATTGAATGTGAATTAACTACATCTGTGTTTTTATATGGATATTGTATATTCTGCAAAACTTCTATCATAATTGTACTGAAGTGTTTCGGGAAATAATAGAAATGTCAATAAAGATCTAGTGAATTGACACTTGATTTTTTAGATGTTGCTGTGATTCATTTGTTGTTTGTCCCAAAAATAAGTCTTTATTATGATGGAGTTTTATTCTGAGTTTTATTCTGAGTCTTCCATCATTAGAAATCCAAATTACGCAATGCTCGAAAAAATCGTTGTGTTGTAGATGTCTTAAATATGTATATGAAATATTTAATCATGAGTTCAGTCAGCTGACTGCCAGTATATTTATAATGGGACAAGGAAAAGTTATAAAGATAGTGCCGTCACTGGGGCTCGAACCCACGACCCTTGGCTGTCCAGCCCGGAGCTCTACCGCTGAGCTAAAGGGAAATTCCCTACAGCTGATGCTTGAAAGGCAACCTAATTAATCCACATCTTTTACATATTTAATCATTATTGTCATGCTTTGTTATGAATAAAAAAAAGAGCTTAACCCTTTCACCACTGTAGATCATAATGGACTCATCCAGATGAATGTATAGTAGAGTCTACTCAAGTTACCTAGGGGTGAAAGGGTTAGTAATATATATAGCAATACACTGGAATATGAAAATACTTTGGGTACAATATTTGAGGCATTCTCTTTGCATTTCATAACCATCTATATATGACAATAGTTGTTGCTAAACAAAATTCAAAAATCCATATGGCACATTGTAGGCTGTGCCAGGGCCATGTAATTTCTATGTGTAGATAGATGACAAGTCAAATACATCGGACCCATGATTTACATGAATCTTGACCTGTACACATATATTAGTAAGTTGAATGAATTTTTAAGTGTGGCAGGTTAGATATGTTAAGACTAGCTAAATGAGAACTTCTTATGAATTTCCTCTGAAGCTTGAATGACCTTGACCTACTTTCAAGGTCACAGGATCAAATGTGTGAAAGCCTTTACACAAACCTTTATCTGAATAATCAAGAGGCATATAGGGTCATCATATTTTGTCTGTAGCTTGCTTAGATGAAGAGGTATCAAGTTTGTTCAAATGAATGACCTCGACCTGCTTTCAAGGTCACATGGGTTGAATGTGTGAAAACCTTTTGAACAATATCTTCAAAGCCTACTTTACCAGGTAAAAGTGTTTGTCCTTCAGCTGGTGCGGATGACTTATCATTTTTTGTTCTTCAAATAAATGACCTCGACTTACATTGCACTTCGAAGGTTGCATGTTTGAAATTAAAATCTTTTAACAAAGATACAGGTGTAGAGAATTGATGTCTAGCCTGTGTTGTTAGCTTGCTTGCCATCAAGATTACCAAAATACAATTGGCCTTGACCCAATTTTAAGGTCATGGATGTGAGATGCTTCCCAATAACATTGAAAAGCAGGTGAGCTAGTATACAGGCACACAATGGGCATCTTTTTCTTGTTTAAAAAGTTGCCATTGCAAGCCAGCTAATTCACTCTATATTCAGATTCGGCATAATTTAGTTTGGATAGAAGGTGGCGGAATTACATTAGTACACCCTGAAACAAACTGACCTTACCTCCTTCTTATGTCATCAAAGGTCCATAAATGATGGTTAGACGACTATTTATTTCACTTGCTCATGCTGCTTTAAAAAGCACAGTTAAATATTGATTAAGAAATGTTTTTGAAACTCGAGGATATTGAATAGTTTGAATGTTTGAAGGTAATTGAGAGCATGCAATTTCATTTTTGATGTTATATTCTCATATTTGTTACGATGTTTGCGACAGTATGGATTTGTTGATGTTTATTACTGTATTTCAGCAAAATTGATGCAGATTTTTTCAACAATAATGTAAGATGTTTTTTCGTATGTAATATTATGCTATTTGCATGGTGTCAAATATAAGATTAGTGTTAGTCCATTTGTACTAAGCATGGCCAAAAAATAAATACTTGCAATCGAGTTATGATTTGTTCCAGTATTTTTTTTAACCTTTACAAATTATATACCTGGTAAAGTTGTGGATATACTATGCAATAAATTGGAAATTTGCATCAGTATTTAATTATTTTTAAATCCTCACGATTAAGTTTGGAGTAGGGAGGCATACCAGAATAGGTAGTCTACTAATTGTGACCTTTACAAATTTGATCGAAGATGCAAAAGAGCATGCCAAGGCTACGGACTAAAAAATCATACTCAATATCTAGACATCTTAGAATAAATGTGACATAAGTGGGTTAATTACCCACATCAAAAAAGCCAGTCCTGGTTTTTCACAATGCCTTTCTATTTTAAATGTCTATTATGTACATACTAGATTAATCAGTAGCCCTCATCTGCAATACTAATCATCCATTGCATTTGGAATTCAGATTTACTCGTCAAAATTAAGATTTCTTGCAATTGGAGGAGAATTGCAGAAATGTCACTTTAATAGAAATATCAACAGATCAAGAAAACAAGGTTGTTTACACAAAAGATTTATTTCACATTTACTGATGTTGGGACATGCAGTCTGAATGTATCTTACATCTGTTTATCAATCACAAAAGTAACGATGGTGCAGCTGACCCTGGTCCATATAAAGACAACTCGTCAGATTGTACTAGTTATCATAAGGACATCTTATCATAAAGCCAGTTCAAATAAATGAATTATATCTACAGTAGATGATATTGTTGAGAAAAGTTAGAGACCAGTTGATTTAGGCAAGGTTTTTCATGTGAATAGCACATACATGCATAAATTAAAATTTGACAAATATCAGAAAACTTAAGATGTATCAGACCAGGTTCAAAGTCAAAATGTTACTACATAACTTTTATATAGACTTCTATCTGACAAACAAACACTACTTAGGTATATATACACTTTTTTGATATTTCAATTTTGAACTGATCCCCTTAAAAATTTATAAATATTATCAATGATTAATTATTAGCAGCAATTTTAAAATAGCTGGTGATAACCTTTTGTTTTATTTAAACAAGTGAATCAATGTTTTGTTATATGAAATCAATAAACTATCATGATTACTCTTTAAATAAAATATTTTTAAATTCAATTTTTGATCAACTGTTCCTTTTAAAACTGACCCATTTTGATCAATTATACCATATTCGTGACAACGGTTCCATTTTCAAACGAGAGTGATGGATGGCAGTCTAATAATTACTGTACAAACATTATGTACAATATGCTACATGTTCAACTATTAATACAATAAAATGGTTTATTAACAAAGCAAATACGTAATATAAGACCAAATCATCACATGTGAAGTCTTCACAAACCGACCTACATTTCCTCACACTCTATAACATTATTACACACATGTACACCTTAATTACAACTACTCGTACGACTGTCGAGTCTTCAAACTGGAAACGACATTGATTTACTCATTCACCCCTGAAGACACATTTGAACTCTTCCAATTCAAAAGATGGATTAGTTCATTATGAAATTTCAGGGGTGGATGAATGAACACTCTTGACATCAGTACTGGCCATGTCTGGCATCCAACCCCAGTTTGGTTTTATTTTGTTTGACAGCTGAATTAGGACATTAAAGGACCCAGACCAAACAATCCCTAAAGAACCTGGTAATGACAAATTGAGGTTCAAGTATTGGTCATTTGGCTTAAAGGTTTGACCATTTACTTTTACCAACTACAGACCCTCAAGGCCTCGTATACCTGTGTTATGTTATAGCTTTGCCTATACCTATCAATGCCGATCAACCGTTTAATATAGACTACCTAAAACCTGAGGCTCATCTTCCTAACTCCCACCCCAGGTCTACGCCTAAAGAAGTGTCCATGTGCTGTAGTCATCTATCCATAGATATTTCATGCTCCCCCCGTCGAATTTCTAGAATGGACCATACATAAAAAAATAAGGCTTAAAGTAGTCTGTGTGCTGTTGTACACCACCAACTCATCAAAGCTGAAAGTAGGTAACATCACATGTTATCTTGTGTCATCAATCTCTACCCCTAACATGATAAATATGACCAGGTTCTTCACATTCACTATAGCCAACTGGCTAGTTTCCAGTAGTCTTAGAATCAAATCCTTTGGAATGAATTTCAACACAAAATGCAAAATAGTCATAAATTAAATATTTAATGTATTCTGATAATTGCCATGTTATGAATTTTAAAATATCTCCCAGGAATAATAAAAAACCTGAAGTCATTTCAAGTTTACCAGGGTTTTAAACAACTCAATTGATACTGCTACATCGCACACACTTAAGTCTCCATGATACCAGACACGACAGTACCAAACTCCGAGATCACATGGTCATGTTGATTTTTGTCCAAGAAATGTTCAGGTCAATATTCCACATATGGTACCACTTTGATCTGCCGATAGAAGTTCCTGGTTGTCGCGTCTGAATGTACATATGTATAGTTTTTTTTACATCTACAACAGTCAGTTATCACACAAATCATCATCAATTCTTTTCCTCCTTCTTTTGTTCATCAGATTCCTCTGATGGTTCCGATGTTGAGTCGGATGTGGATGACGATGAGCTTGCTTCACTGGCACGGTCGGATTCCATCTGACAAGACAATACAGAAATGTTGCAATGAAGTGTTATAGTATGCAGCTTAATCAAGTCCAAACTCATTGTTTTTTGTAAATCAAAAAAGTTTGTATACAATTACAATTAAAAATTGTAACACAGATTAAACAAGAGTACTGCGGGGCGGAACAAAATACGCACGTCGAATGCCATATAGTGTTATATACTTTCTTACATTGAAATAAGATCTGCATCAATCTAAGAGTGGTTAGCTGACATGCTAAAAAAATGTAGGAGAAAATCTCAAGGAAACAAAATATCATGATTATTTAGCCTACAAAGTTTCAGAGAAATCTGTCAAAAAATGTAGGAGGAGATCTCCAGACAAAAAATCAGATACTGAAATGAAGAAAGGGCAAACAAAAGTTTACGCCGGCCGGACAACCCCATTCCATTATACTTCCGTCAAATTTGAAGGGCGTATAAAAATGGGTGATTTTCTATTAAATGCATAACTTTTTTCTTACCTTTTTGTATGCCATTTCAAACAATTTTAACGATGATTGTTGCAATTCATTGGTTGCTGTTGTAATATTTTCTACTGTCTCATTATCTTTGTTGGCTAAAACTTCCTTCGTCTTGATTATATGTTCCTTCAGTTTCTGGCTCTGCAAAATAGAATAAAAATACCTTTGTACAGAACATTTATTAAGTGTACCCTTTAATAAAGAAAATCTAAAATGCATTACATCAGAGACCAAAGAGGGCCTGTATCGCTCACCTGAATATTTAAGCAGTCATAGCAAAATATTCTCATTAAATATTATATTGCACTAAAAATATTTCCCTCGCAAACTTTGTTGGCTCCATCTGTTGAAACTACCAGCAAAATATTATTGTAAGATTCTATGCTTTTTGATTCTTCTTCAGAAGTTGCTTGACATATTTTTCCCTGTGACCTTGTAAGTAGTATTCCAAAAAGCTACCAGCCATACTATGAATCCATTCCTTTTAGTTCTTAAGAACAAATCCATTAAAATGTTGTTGACCTCTGTGACCTCTAAAGTAGGTTAAGGTCATTTTCATTTGCAAACTTTGGTGAGCTCTATCCCAGGAAATCACCAGCCAAATATTATAATTTTATGCCTTTCAGTTCTTCAGAATTTGACGGGCGTATAAAAAGGGACATAACTCTTACAAAAGTGGTTGAAATATTGCAATGATCACATGTAATTTCATTACATTTGTAAAACTAGTAAGCCAGATGAAATTGTGGTTACAAATAGACTAACACCCTGATTCTAGTTACTGAACCCCCTCACCCCACTACACTTTGGGGGGGGGGGGGGGGGGGAGGGGAGAGGGGATTTTCTAGTTCATCAACTCGTTTTTGAGATTATTTTTTTTGTGAACTCTGCCTCAAAAGACCAATTCATGTGCATTAGAATTTAGTGACATAATCAGCAACGTACCAATACACAGTCATTGCTGAGTTCTACATTCTGGATCTACATTACAGTTCACTTAATGTCACTTTTCGGTTATTATCATGTTTTCCAGCTGATGCACCGTTTCTGCCTGCTATATAATCAATGTAATTCAATTCTCTTATTAGTACTTGTTTTGATGTCGATTTCACATAACTTCATTTTGCCCACCGTACTTAACTATCCAATCAAATATCCTCTCCAAAATATGCAAGTCTTTGCAAAAAGTAATTTTATATCTCGTGGCCAGATAAAGGTCTCCTTTAAACAAGTTTTCAGATTACAATTGTATAACAGTTAAAAAACTGTTCTTGTTTCATTTTTCTAAGGCAAAGATCCAACTCATTACACCTATGAATTGTACTATACAAATTGTTTTACCTCATCAGCTGGTAATTGGTCTTTGAATTCCTCCATCTTACTCTCTGTGTCGTGAATGATGCTTTCTGCCTTGTTGACGGCCTCAACCGTTTCCTGTAATTCATTGAAAAGTGTCAAACGTAATTGGCATACTATATTTCAAGTTTCATACAGTAATCATACATTCCAACTAGTGATGGGTATTAAATCGTTTTAATATCATAATTGATAATGGGTTTCTAATTGGATGTAGTAAACCGATCGATGATCGATTGCATAATCGGTCAATAATTTTGTAGGACTGAATGCCCCCAAATAAAGCGAGAACACTACTGTTACATCAATAGACAGAGTTGTTCACTATTCAATATAATTAGGTTTTGTTCTTTTACAATTAATGGTTATCAAGCAACTTCTTTGCATTTTTATCCATCATATAGTATAAATCAATTATGTATTATCAGATGTCTTTCAAAACATGAAAAACATTTAAATACTTTGATTTCAATGATGAACCGATTACATTGATTATTGAATTTGAAATCGATAATCGGAATCGACAGGGCAAACAGATTGATTTTTGATTATAGTCGATCATCAGCCCATCACTATTTCCAACTATCCCCATTAAGGACTCTCGATTTTGGACCCAAAAATTGATCATTTTCAACCAGTGAATTTGTTAAAACTATTCTCATTTTCTAAGATCTGACAGAACAGCTCAAACAATGCCATTTAAAAGTGTTCTTTTTTCCCTAGTGTGTACATAAACCATTTTATTTATGCTTTGCCAAAAAGTTCGCAATTACAATCCTAATTGTAGGATCTTTACTCGGACAGGTATGGAATGGACATTTCTTGATCCTAGTTATTTATTGTTCTTCCTTGAACTTTTCTGAAAGAAAAAAATCTACTCCTTTTTTCTATGGAAATTTTTATATTGATCATCAAATAGTTTTCTATTGATGCTTTCCCACTTTCCAGTCTTTTTCTTACATTAATTTTGAACATTTTGGGCTTTTTAAAGTTTACTATTATTTCAAGCTTGTGCAAGCCTGTATAAGCAATGTGCTTATGTTATCGACAAATGATCGTATTTTATGAACTTAAAAGGATCACTTGACAGGGTTTTACAATAATTATATAGCTGAATTATGTTACCTTTCGTACGAGATCCTCCGCAGCGTATTTCTCTGCATTCCTAACCATATTTTCAATATCATCTTTGCTGAGTCCACCAGAAGACTGGATAACAACTAAAACAAAAGAAATATTTTTTATTTTTTGTGAGTTAAAACTACGAACTACTATCTAAACATGCAAAAATATATATTACAAAAAGAATCATAAACTCAGAAATTTAGACCCAAAAACTGACAGCAAATTTGAAATGCTATATATGTAACACAGGTCATTATCTTTTCAATGCCTCCGCTAGGAGTCGAGCCTGGGACTTCTAGCTTACTAGTCTTACGCTCCACCGAATGTGCTAAAGGGAAAATCTCCCTAGCCGAGTCGGTAGGAAGCGGCTACTACTTTACTAGGGTGACATATACTTAGTCCATTAGAAATCACAAACGTCACAAAAATTCACGTTGCAGTGTAGGAATACATACTCTGTTGTTCCTTTCCTGTACCCTGGTCTCTTGCAGACACATTCACAATACCGTTGGCATCAATGTCAAAGGTCACCTCAATCTGGGGGATTCCTCTAGGAACTGGGGGAATTCCAATCTGATAAACAAATAATTAATAAAAATTTGAGGTTCTTATATACTGCTTTATCACAACCTAGTTTGTAGGTCATCTCAAAGCGGTTCACAAATTATCAGTGGTTATAATTTATAACTCTATATAAATTATAAAATGCCTTATCATTCCTCTTACATCAAGTAAATCCCCCAATCATTCCTCTTGCATCAAACAGACAATCAAGATTTCTGTATTTTTGCTCAATCAACTTGCATGTTTGATAAAAAAAAATAATCTTATGTCATAAGTTTATGACTGAAATGGAATATTGTTTCCTTTTATGATCAGAACTGTGTAAGCTTCAATAACCATGGCCAGCAGGCTATATCTGTTTGGCCAGTTCTCTAAAGCTGTTTATCTCCCAGTGTTAACATGACCCAAACTACAGACAAGGTCAGGCTCATGCGATATACTGGTTGCAATCTTTCCTGTGCATTTAATTACAAATAAATCCCATTAATTGTTTTAATCATTGAGGAACTTCGTTTCTTAATTTAAAAAAATCTTAATTTTAAGGCATTCTTTCATACATATACTACTGAAACTATTTAGGTCATTAAAATATCTTCAAATATGGTACAATTCTCCTCAAGGACCAACATTGTTTCCTACAGTAGGTGTACATGTACAAGCAAGTGTTTTAGAAGCCTCTATGAACTTTGTTTTGCAATATCTATTTTAGTGAACCATTTGGGTAAAAATACATGTGTAAATGCACTGCATCAACGTCTAAGGAACCTCAAGGTCAAATATCAATATCCTAATACTAATATCAATATCCTAGTACAAATACTTTGTTTTCTTAAGAAATGTCAACTAAATTTCAATCCAGCAAAGCCAACATGGCATGGCTTCTGTACAAGAGCCCCCCACCCTTAATTCTTCAAATAGGCAATCTAAAGAGATACTGTTTAACTGTAAGCTTCAATAACCATGGCCAGCAGGCTATATCTGTTTGGCCAGTTCTCTAAAGCTGTTTATCTCCCAGTGTAAACTTGACCCAAACTACAAACAAGGTCAGGCTCATGCGATATACTGGTGGCAGGTTGTTAATTATTACCCGGAGTCGGATCGTCCGCATAAATTTCCCAATCGCGTATAGTTTCGTCGATAGTGTAAGGAATGACAACTCTGGCAGATATTACTACATTGTGCATGTTTGTGATGTTCTGTTCTCCTGTTATACTGTTTTGTCAAAGTATTACTAATTAACCAACATTTTCTAGTGCACACAAAAAATAAGGCATGCGCATACACATGAATACAGTTAACCTTTATTTTCATCTGTCCAATGACCAGTCACTACGCATACGTAACATGTACTCAGCAGCTAGTATTTTTACCTGTACACATTTTGTAAAGTTAGGGAGATAACTCTGCAGAGTAAATTACCCCCGCACATACAGTTTTGACCTTCAAATCGCGTAATTTTCACCCAGCGTAAATAACCACGTTTACATGACAGTACTCTATGCTTTCATTGTACGTCAGCCATCATTTGATGTAAACAATGCTTGAATGTTTGAAAAAGATTATAATCCATAACTTGTCTGAAAACATTTTTATGTTGAAAAGTATCTATACCAGTGCTTTTTCTTTTCAAACCAACTGACTAGTGATTAGGAAATGCCAAATTTAGATATAGGAAATTCTTACCAGTTGGAATTGTCCCAGGATTTTGTTGTCGCTAGCCATCTCTCTCTCACCCTGGTGTACTTTGATGTCTACCTGTGTCTGTCCATCAGCTGCAGTTGAAAACACCTAAGGAACAGAAACATTTCCATGCTGCATTGCAGAATAAAGATTGACCATAATGTTACTATACATCTTAAGTGCTATATATAAAGTGCAATTGGTTTTTTTGATCAACAATTACAATCTCACCAGAACACATTCACTAAGGTATTATGAAGATGGGTGACAAGGATATTTTTTTATTTAAACATATTTTATTTGCATTAAAATATACATTGGGATATCTCATCAAACTTCATACAGAAAGATCACCGGTCAAATGCAAAAGGTATTGCAATAGGCCGCCCCTTTTGATGGTTAGGCCGCCCCTTTTGATGGTATAAAGTTTGTCCGATAACTGTAGATCAAGTAATGGAACCATAAACTTTGCACAAGAATCTGTAAGGCTATCAATATGTCAAGTCGTACCTGTGATTTCTTGGTAGGAATGGTGGTGTTTCTGTTGATCAGCTTGGTGAAGACTCCTCCGAGGGTTTCAATACCCAGAGACAGCGGCGTTACATCCAGTAACAAAACGTCGGTCACATCTCCAGCCAACACACCTCCCTACAGACCAAAACAAAAGTCGGGATGACTTTTCTATCACAGATCTCAATCAATAGGTGTATCATATGTAAAAATCTATAGAGAACAGTGAAAAACAAATGGGATCTTATATTTTTATTTATGTCAGATAGCTGTTCGGTTTTTTCAAATGAATTCCACAAAGTATTGGTTTCTTTTCAGAAATAATTTATAGAAACTATTGTCATGCAGGTAAAAAGTTTAAAATTAAAAACAGTTTTATGGCAATGGTAAAAAAAGTTTGCTATTAATGGTTACATTTGTTGGTGATTGTATCGGGATATTTAATTAAAGCTTTTTACCATCTTACACTTTACATCCGATACTTTTTCCTATATAAACATTTTAATATTTATTTTGTCAATAACATACTTTTAAGTCCACAACAGATATTGTACAGATTTGTAAGTGTGGAACTTTTCGAAGTGGACAACAAGGGATCATGTAACCTCATGTCAAAACCTAACACGGTGAACATCCATGAATAGTTGACAAACCTGGATGGCAGCTCCTATAGCCACGGCCTCGTCTGGGTTCACGGCTTTACTGGGCTGTCGGCCAAACAGTTCCTGGACTGTAGCCTGAACCTGTCAAACAATTAATGTTTTGGGGATTCTATGACAAAAATCTCAAGTACAATAAACTTTTTATTTGATACCCGAGTATTAATGAGATCACATTCATGAACACATTTTTAACCCGATTTTGTAGCAAGTATGTTGTATAAATCTGGTTTATCAACTGAACATCAGATTAGGTTGTGACATTAATATAAAGGATCTGTTAACATATGAAGATAGAAAATGCTCAACAAAAAAACAAACAAAAAACTTAGTCCTCAGGACCAAATACACAAGTTTTCAATATGGTGTAATACTCATTTTTTATCGAATTTAAAAGAAAATGCCATTAAGCAGCCTTTAGATTCTTAACTCTGGACAGAATGCACTCTCAAATGATTTTATTTTTATTTTCCATCTAATAATATGAAATTAAATTGCCATTCTTAATATTGCCCTACAACTATTCTTCTGACAAACATAAACAACTTTTATGAACGATGTAAGCTTCAATAACCATGGTCAGCAGGCTACATCTATCTGACCACTTCTCTAAAGCTGTTGATCTCCCAGTGTTAACAAGTTAACATGACACAAATCATAAAAGACAAGGCTCATGTGTTACACTGGATGCATGTGTTTTTAATATTTCATCGAATCCCAAAGTACTTCTGTTGTACTTTTGATTTTATGTCTGGAATCGTTTAATGTATATATGGTACCCCGAGTATTTTCTTCGTTCTTGAGAAAACAAGCCACTCCTTTGATCCCCCCCCCCCCCCCCCCCCATAAACTTTTTTCCAAATCCTATTCAACAAGGTGCATTATCAGTATATATATATTGATACTCACCCAGCAGTGAAAAAGTATCACTTAGTTCTATGATCTACTAACCTTTGGCATTCGAGACATTCCACCAACCAAAATAACCTCTCCAATGTCCGATTTCTTTACATCAGCATCCAGCATGGCCTTCTTAGAGGGTCCAACTGTTCGCTTGATCAGACTCTCAACAATGGACTCGAACTTTGAGCGCGAAAGTTTCAGGTTCATGTGTTTCGGTCCAGAAGCATCCATGGTCAAATATGGCAAGTTTATTTCAGTCTGCAAAAAACAAAGATTTCTATTTTTATTGTCCAGTTCTAGTCAGAGTTTACTAAAACATTGACAATACAGCTGTATTTCTCAAAGAAACACTATGGTGTACAATTACATGTTTAGAGCACTCTCCCACAGGCAGATTTTGATAAAACTCTACTTGCCCAACTAATATTTTGTAAGTTAATATTGAATATATTCACTAGCCCTTGCATTAATTTAACAAACCAAAGTCGTCAGGCTAGTGGAATTGTACATCCCTGGAAACAACTTAAAAAAAAAAAAGTATGTTTTCCCCTAAAACCCTACCTACCCTAGATTGTTGTGCCTACCCCGACGTTTTTATTGGCATTTAGTGATGAGCACGGTTAAAGTTAGAACTTTTGCTCTATAAAAGCACAGAAAATATGAGAGAAAAATATGTGCCTACCAACCGACCCTGATTTTATCAAGCAGGAACAGGAAACAAACACACTTGTTTTGCCTAATATAGTGACAGTTACCGACCTGTAATGCTGAAGACAATTCAATCTTTGCCTTCTCTGCAGCCTCCCTCAGTCGCTGCATTGCCATGGGGTCTTTTGTGATGTCTTGTCCTTGCTGAAAAGTCAAAAACTTAATGTGGTCATCTGATTCTTCATGAATAATTACGAAATTATGTCGTCAACTGAAGTCAAATGAGTTTAATTTTGTTATTCTCTAGATTCCAATTAACGAGAATCCGATGTGGTCTTATGTGATGAATATTCTATAGATATAATCAGGAATGTTCAGACAGGTAATGGACAGGAGGTAAAATTTCATAAATTCCAATATTTTGTTTTGGTCGACATGCAAGCTTTTGCGTGATTTGTGGATAGATTTTAGAACATTAAAATTACCGCGGTGTTTACAAAGTTCTCTTTGCACTGCAAAAACAAGTGATACTCAACCATCTGTGCATGGTAATTTTGATGTTCAAAAATCTATCCACATTTTATTGCTCATATTTAACTATCCACTATTTCTTGAAGAAATTCTAAATGCTGCAGGTTTACCAGAAGTAAAAAAAAAAGAGTCCATTTTATCCACTCTTTTAATTAAGAGTCAATATCTACTTACATCCCGCTTGAACTCTGAGGCCAAGAAGTTGACAAGATGGTTGTCAAAGTCTTCCCCACCGAGGAATGTGTCTCCATTCGTGGACTTCACTTCAAACACACCTTTTTGGATTTCAAGCACCGAGATATCAAATGTACCTCCTCCTAAATCATAAACTGCAATTCTGTAAGGAAATTGTCATACTTATAAGAGCAAAAGTTTAGACAAAATCAGCAACTCAATTATGTTGTTAAGATAAAATCAAATATGTTGTGAGCTGTTTTTCTGACAAACTTCCTCTGCTTTTGAGTAAATTAACATAGCAAACTTGTTAAACACCAAGACAGTTCTTAAGAGTTTCCAAATTATGGTATGCAGATACAGCCAGCTATGTGCAGCTACCTATTAAATGCAAACAAGTTTCATTGAGGCAACCAAATATTTTGTTTAAACTGCATAGTTACCGGCCCAATATATGGAATCATCGAGGAACTTCTTTTTTTAATAAACCTTTTTTTCTCTCAAGGTTAACTTTAAGGCATTCTTTCATACATATACTACTGAACTCGTTTAGGTCATTAAAATATCTTCAAATATTGACAATTCTCCCCAAGGTCAAAATTGTTTGCTATTTAGTGGGTGTGTACAAGCAAGTGTTTTAGAAGCCTCTATGAACTTAATGTTTTGCAAAATCTATTTTAGTGAAATATTTGGATAAAATCCCATTTTTAAATGCACTGCATCAATGTTAGAACTCTACAAAACCTACAGGTCAAACATCAACATCCTAGCATAAACACTTTATGTGGTCTTAATAATAAATGTCAACTAAACTTCCATCCAGCAAAGCCAACATGGCTTCTGTAAAAGAGACCCCCCCCCTCCTCTCATTCTTCAAATAGGCAATCTACTGGTCAACTGTAAGCTTCAATAACCATGGCCAGCAGGCTATATCTGTTTGGCCAGTTCTCTAAAGCTGTTTATCTCCCAGTGTTAACATGACCCAAACTACAGACAAGGTCAGGCTCATGCGATATACTGGTTGCAATCTTTCCTGTGCATTTAATTACAAGTAAATCCCATAAATTGTTTTAATCATTGAGGAACTGCATTTTGTAATAATTTTAAGGCATTCTTTCATATATATACTACTGAAACTGTTTAGGTCATTAAAATATCCTCAAATATGGTACAATTCTCCCCAAGGACCAAAATTGTTTGCTACAGTAGGTGTACAAGCAAGTGTTTTAGAAGCCTCTATGAAGTTTATGTTTTGCAATATCTATTTTAGTACACCATTTGGGTAAAAATCCATTTGTAAATGCACTGCATCAACCTCTAAGGAACCGTTCTCCAGGTCAAATATCAATATCCTAGTACAAATACTTTATGTTGTCTAAGAAATGTCAACTAAACTTTAATCCAGCAAAGCCAACATGGCTTCTGTACAAGAGACCCCCCCTTATTCTTCAAATAGGCAATCTAAAGATATACTGTTTAACTGTTAGCTTCAATAACCATGGCCAGCAGGCTATATCTGTTTGGCCAGTTCTCTAAAGCTGTTTATCTCCCAGTGTTAACATGACCCAAACTACAGACAAGGTCAGGCTCATGTGATATACTGGTTGCAATCTTTTCCTGTGCATTTAATTACAAATAAATCCCATAAATTGTTTTAATCATTGTTGAACTTCATTTTTTAATAACTTAAAGGCATTCTTTCATATACATTATACATACTACTAAAACTGTTTAGGTCATTAAAATAACTTCACATATGGTACAATTCTCCCAAAGGATCAAAATTGTTTGCTACAGTATGTGTACAAGAAAGTGTTTTAGAAGCCTCTATGAACTTTATGTTTTGCAAAATCTATTTTAGGGAAATATTTGGGTAAAAATCCATTTGTAAATGCACTGTATCAACCTCTAAGGAACCGTTCTCCAGGTCAAATATCAATATCCTAGTACAAATACTTTATGTTGTCCAAGAAATGTCAACTAAACTTCCATCCAGCAAAGCCAACATGGCTTCTGTACAAGAGACACCCCCCCCCCCCCCCCCCCCCCCCTCCTCTCATTCTTCAAATAGGCAATCTACTGGTCAACTGTAAGCTTCAATAACCATGGCCAGCAGGCTATATCTGTTTGGCCAGTTCTCTAAAGCTGTTTATCTCCCAGTGTTAACATGACATGACCCTAACTACAGACAAGGTCAGGCTCATGCGATATACTGGTTGCAATCTTATCCTGTTGATTGGTCGATTGATTTTACTTCCGCTTCACTACAGAGTAGTTCGGTTATGCAGCAGACAATTCTTTTCCTGTACATTTTAATTACAAATATATCCCATAAATTGTTTTAATATGTTATATTTGTTTAACAGTAATATTTTCTTACAGTTTATCCTCGGTTTTATCCATTCCGTAGGCTAGAGCAGCGGCTGTTGGTTCATTGATGACCCGGAGACAATTCAGTCCCGAAATTTGACCAGCATCCTTTGTAGCCTATAAAACAAACAAAAAAATTTCGGTCACTTTTACATCTGTTTTATTCAAAAATTGACCAAAATAACTTCAGGGGGCGATTTTTTTTATATGGATTTGTCTCAGATTTCAATGTTGAATTCATCACCTGCTTAGCACCCCTTTTTTTTCTTTAGCAAACACTGTCACAAAATTACACTACCAAGACAAAACAGTGCTTATTTTTATAAAAAAAAACACTCATATTAAAATAAACAGGCAAGTTTCTGCAGTTTAAAAGGATACACACAGAGCCATAGAGTCTTCTGGAAAGATTTGATTGGTCCCTTACAATGATTTAGTTACCTCATTAACCCCTGAAATTTCATGATAAACTATACCAATATTTGAATTGGAGGAATTCAAATGTGTTTTCATAAATATACTAATTATTAGAGCTCTACATACCTGTCTCTGAGAGTCATTGAAGTAAGCGGGCACTGTGATGACTGCATTCTTCACACTCGTGCCAAGGTAACTCTCTAAGAAGACGAAATTCAGTTTATCAATACACTGTGAAATTTTGATAATAAAACACGGATAAAAGTTGTTGATACACCCCATTTGGCATTATTGTGGTCATATATTTCAACGGGTTAAGATATTGCTGGACTATTATGGTCAGACCAGTGAATTTCGTCAGACTGTGGTGAATTTCAATTAGCAATTTATCAACTTTGGGAAACATAATTTCACTGCAGAACAGATGCTGAAACACTTCACCTTTGAAGGTTAATCTTGACTGGAGTTTCTGCATTTTTAAAATTTTAATTAAAAGAATACTGAACAACCCACCGAGTAAAGGTGTTCAATATGTCAGACTTACCGGCTGTTTCTTTCATTTTAATTAGGACAAAGGCTCCCACTTGACTAGGTGAATACAGTTTGCCATTGGCTTCAACCCAGGCGTCACCGTTAGTTGCTTTCACTATCTTGTAAGAAACTGTTTTCCTGGAAAAGATACAAAGAAAAAATCATGGGTCGCCACAGATTCCTCTGAATAATTCAATCAAAAACATGTTTGTTGTATTCCTGAGCTACCAGAATTATGTTTTGGAAGTACATAAAAGGATAACTCCATATGTCGAATTTATAAAATGAATTACAATTACAAGGGTCATAAATGGCCTGGCTAACCGATATACAGATAGATCAGAATATGATCGTACAAATATGGAAAACTTTTGGGTTGTGATAACCAATTCCTACAACCTACAGAAAACACCAGATATGTGCAGTCTCTCTCAATCAACAAGTCTGACCATTTTTTGTCCGTTTTATTCTTACATGTCTTTCTGCACTTCAGCATCAGTAAAGCGTCGACCAATCAAACGCTTTGTTGCAGAAAATGTGTTTGGAGCGTTAGTGACTGCCTGTCGCTTTGCTGGCATCCCGACCAAACGCTCGCCGTCCTTTGAGAATGCTACGACCGAGGGGGTGGTACGTGCTCCCTCTGAATTCTCCAGGACCTTGGCCGACTTTCCTTCCATAAGGGCGACACAGGAGTTTGTTGTACCGAGATCGATTCCAATAACATGACCTTTAACTTTGTCAGATCTATGGAAACAAAAACATGCTTGAAAGTCAAAAATCACACTTAGTACTTGCGGAATTCAGCTGTTCTCAAATTTCCAATCACGGACATTCAATATCCTATCAATAAAGGTAACTATTACTAACCGGGTTAGTAGACAATATGCTAAAAGTATATCTAGTAATAAGCTAGGTGTTTTTTACCATGGATTGATCATAAACCTACACACAAAACTTTGATAGGTGAAATGACATTTGTAATACCAGTAGTTGTTTGTTTAACAACCATATATGGACAGGTTAATTTGCAGGTGACCCAGACATTTTGAAGATACTTAAATTTCTGATCATTTTAAGCCAACATGAATATGCTGAAGTTTAAATACCATCAATGTGCAAGATACAACACTCATACTTACGCATGTCTCTTGCTCTGGTACTGATGTGGTTCATTGTTAGTTTTTACTGCAGCAACTGGAACCTGAAATATCCAAGATATAATCCTTTAAATGTAAATAATAAACCTCCACAGCATCTGATGCATGAACAAAGTTATTTCCTGAAGAACAGGACATGTAGTACTGAAGAAAGAACTTTAGTGAGTGTGTTCAATGCCAGGCCACCAGTTTTGATTCTGGGGATTAGTTCTCTGGAAGCCATGGATGCATCACAAATATGCTACAGCAGCTGAATTGGAACCTTGAACATATATAGGAGAGCTAGGAACAGAGTGGATGTATTCTACTAAATCATCAATAACATCATAGAATTCCCTGTTGACAGTCAGGGGAACACCAGCCCAACATGTGTATCCCATTCAAATAACATCTGGCAAATCAGCACCAGTGTCGATGCCTTCAAATATTAATCATCCAGACGACGATAAGAGAATGAAACTAATTTCCAAATGTGCAAAAGTTACCATCTAGTGACAGCTTCTGACACGACATCTACTTCCAGGGCATGTCTGGACCTCTCAACCAAGTTTAAAGTGTTGTTTTTTTTTAATCCAAGTTTTAGCCGTTTGCTGACCCGACACTTTGGGTATAGACAGTCTATAATATAAGGGTATATTCAATTTGGAAAGAAGGTGGACTGAAAACTCCAATAGGTTAGAGGATGTTGAATGTCGGCCTCAACAGTCAACAGGTTACATTGAACTTCTCCAGTCTTGTAATCTCAAGTCATGATCAAATTGCAAAGTAAGGCTGGTATCAAGTTTGACCTCCATTTTTTTCAACAAATTATATTTCACTTTCTGACTAATTATGTATAATGGAGGCAGGAGAAGTAATGTTTGGAGTCTGTCCCATTCATGAAGAGCATATCAATTCGAGAGACAGGAACGTCTTATATAGACCGAATCCAGGAAGGAAGGAGGTATGTATATATATATATATGCAAGTTGCGGAATTAGATGAAATATGGAAGTTAACCTGGTATGCCTTTTTCATTTTTTTTTATTGAAATTATCATGGTACGTCAAAAAGTGATTCACATATCAAAACTGTTTTTTTATCAAAATGTTAACCATATCATACCATTGAAACAATGTACAAGTTTCATATACACAGTTATATAACCAGAGAACAGACAGTGAAAAAATGACCTGTCAGTGTAAGCCATTTATCATCTCCAGGAATATAGAAGAGCCGAGCCTATGTTATGAGCATGTAGGTTATAAATCACATATTTGGACGACTCCAATCAACTTCTCAAATAATATTGAGAATTAGATGCAGGAAAGTGTCACAATTCGAATAATTTCATTCGAAAATGATATCTGCAGGCTGCATTTCATTGTAACCAAGTCCATATTTTTAGCTTGTAGAATAATTCCAAATCAATAATGTAGGTGTACAGAAACATTTTAATTATTAAAATTTAAGCAATCTGATATATTATATCTAATGTTTAACTGCTAACTGATGCAAACCACGTTATAGTAAAGTATTGTCTCTTATGAAATAGGAAATGGCGATCGGTTCTTGCATCAGAAAATGTATCTAGGCCTAGATCTCAAAGTTAAATCACATTTCTCAGAAAGTAATTTAAGATGAAAATTGAAACAACAAACTTACATAACATATTGGCAATCAATGCATTAGATTTTAAAAGAAAATTACGTAAAGCTCACAACTCCTATTCAGTAACAACTTCAGTTATGTAAAACGGAGAACCACATGGCAAACACAAATATGACCTTAGCACTTACTGCATATAATACCTCTAAATACGCACCTTTCGCGACAGATTGGAAAAGCTTTTTGAACTGCAAAGATCTGTGGCAGTCTTTAAACATTTGTGTGAAATTCTTGAAGTCGACAACATCTTGTTTCTTGGTGTTTTTAACAAAAGTCGAAGAAATCTCCGCCGATGCCCTTGCCTCTGCACGTGTGATGTCAGAATAGTCTAGAAATGCGCATGCCCTGACTGTAACTTCCTATATGTTTTTCAGTAAAGGTTCTCGCTGCCTGACTCACATTTGGTTTGCCTTATATAACACGAGTTACCTCCCCTTGGTCATAAAATGTTGCTACCCAATGATGGATTATGATTTATACCCAATAAAATGAATTAATCATCGTGTTTAAATCAGTCCGCGAGTAGATTCTTTTTTGATAATCGAAATAAGATAGTACTGCAACTAGGCACGATTTGTAGTTAGTCCGAGTAAGTAAGCTTATACTCTATGCTATGCCATAAATCAGAGACGTATGTGCTTAAATAAAACAAACAAAAAATATTTATCTTTTCTTTTTACAAAACGCATGACTTGACTTTGCGAAGAAAATTTGCGAAGAAAATTTCAAATCACTGATTTAGATTTTCTTTTTTTTAGTGTATAATGAAATGATAAAAGATTGGACGTCAGAATGTAACGGTGTGTGATATAGATCAACACCCTAAAGATAAAACTTTAAAATAATCATAAACAAAACAAAAAAATTATTCCATGGATAGTTATGGGATACGTAAGAATTTTGGGGACTATTGACACAAAGACCGATATAGGATCAAGCAACCCTGGTGGTTGAGATTTATCTGGCGTACCCTCGCCGCCGTAAGGGATGCTTCCTTTTTGTCACATCATTGCGATTTGATTGAAAACAATTATGCAATGGTCCGCCGGTAATCATAGATTTTCATAGTTACTTGGTGTTGGTGGAAATCAATTAATCTGCTTATCCTTTTATATCATATAGTTTGCTGTGAATTATGCCAAGTATCTACAAACCTAGCATATCTGTGTTCCGTGTATCAGCATGCATTGTATCTGGTTATAGTATATCTGTATACCGTTTATCTGTATATAACAAATACTAGTCCGAATTATTCTGACGTTTCATCGACTTTTTTCATATCGGGCTGGCGTCGATTAACCTCAGACCGATATAAAAAAAGTCGTTAAAACGCCAGAACAATTCGGCCTAAACACATACATGTTTCTGTATACTATGAATCAATATACTATGAATCTGTATACTATGTGCCTGTATACTATGCATCTGTATACTATATATCTGAATACCATGTATCTGTATACAATATATCTCTATACTATGTATCTGAATACTATGAGTCTGTATACTATGTATCTATATACTATGTATCTGTAAACCATGTGTCTGTATACCATGTATTCGTATAACCTGTATCTGTATACTATGTGTCGGTATACTATGTATCTGAATACTATATATCTGTTTACCATGTATCTGTATACTCTATATCTGTATACCATCTATTTGTATACAATGTATCTGTATACTATCGAGTGTTTGGCAACTTAAGAATCTTTCCCCGAGGGTTGAGATTGCCATATCTTACCCACAAGGTGAATGATTCTTTTTCTCTTACCCTGTTCTCCCAATGTGTATCATATACACAATGTAATGATAACGTTACATGCTAAATTCAGGGTTGACGTGACGTTGATGGATTGTTGATGTGACGTCATTGTATTGTTGAAGTGACGTCATACCATTGTTATGAATAGGGGAATCCCCCCGTCTCAACCCTAGGGTGAGACAAGGAAATCTCACACCGTTAAAAGGGCAGATACACCTGTCCAGGGTAAGATAATTCCTTGTCTCACCCTAGGGTTGAGACGGGGGGATTCCCCTATTCATAACAATGG